AGGGTTCATTTCTCCTGCCTCCGCTGAACTGGGGCCACTTTCATCAAAATCCTTCATCTCCTGGAGATCTTAGGCTCTCGGAACACAGGGCACTCCTCAATCATTAGTTTTGCAGGGACTTTTAAGGCTGATCTGAGTGGTGCGGCTGGCGGGGTGAGTGGGGAAGTGAGGTGTGTCTAAACCCTTACCTCAACTCCTAACAGGGTCCAGGATTATTCTTTTGGCTTACCTTTGGCCGACCTTCTTAGACGAAGACCACTTTTTGCGATGCCGTGGGAGGAAGTGAGTGCTGCACAGTTCATCACCGAAAGTCCATAGTCTGCTCTCCTAGCTACACCAGCAAGGGCGGAACTCTCTGGAGCCTCCCTCTGTTTTAAAGTGAATGATACCTGCAGTCCTCACGTTGTTGTTAAGTGCCATGGAGGCCATTCAGGCTCATAGCAATCCTATATAGAGTTCCCGAGGAGCAGCTGGTGGATTGAAACACCAATCTTGCTGTAAACAGTCCAGTGCTTATCTTGCTTCCCCCCCTCCCCCCTTACAGCCTTCCAATGCTGAAGTCGACCTCCTCCTTAAGCCAACATCCTCCTTTCCCTGTGGCCCTCCTTGTAGAAGTTAGTCTGAAAGCTCTTCTGGGGACCTTCTTGTGCTGACTGCAGGGACAGGATCTGTGCCTTCTAGCCTCTATGGTCATCTCAATCCTCATTCAGGGATCTGCCCTTGATTCCTGGCATGACCTGAGTTTCTGCCTCCTACCAACCTGGCTCCCATAGTCTCAGCAGCCAAGTGCTCTTGGAGTCCTGGTGTGGCACTGTAGGATAAACACTGGACTGCTAACCTCAAGGTGGTTGGTTCAAACCCAGCAGCGCTCCTTGAAAATCCTACACAGAGTCGCTATGAGTCGTAACCGACTCGATGGCACTTAACAACAGCAATGTGAGGCTGCTTGGCCCTCCCAGGGACCACATAGACATATGGACAATATCGGGTATGCTTTATTCAGAGCTAGACTGCACCCTCAGTCCTCAGGGGCCTCAGTTTGGTTCCTGCCAGGTCGTTCTATTGCTTACTTGACTTACCTGTGGCCACCCTCCTTAGACAAAGTCCCTCACTTCCTGAAATGCTCTAACAACAATTGAGTGCTGCTAATCTCATCACAAATGACTGGGTCCCCCAGTGATGTCAGTAAAGGGGGAGCCCTCTGGTAACCCCTCTGTTCTGAAGCAGGTGACACCCTCAATTTTCATAAAACAAAACAAACCAGTTGCTGTGCAGTCATTCCTGCTCATGCAAACCAGATGTGTTTCAGAATAGAACTACAGTCAATGACTGTGATCTTTCTGAAGTAGATCGCCAGACCTTTCTTCTGAGGTGGTTCTGGGTGGATTAGAACCAGGCAAATTCAAACTGCCCACTTTTCCATTAGTAACCAAGCTTTAACTATTTGACTATTTGTACCAACCAGAAACTACTCAGTATTTATATAGGATTCTTAATTTGACTTCTGCTAGGACCAGAAAAATCGTTTTTTGTTTTTTCTTCATTTTTAATTGTGAATTGGGTGGAGGTTTACAGAGCAGATCAGTTTTCCATCTAATAATTCATGCACATTTTCTTTCATCGTTGATTGCAATCCCCCAAATGTAAATATCCTACTTCCTCCCTAAGTTTCTCATTTCCATTCTTTCTTCTGTCCTAATTCTTCTAAACTTTGTCCTTGTATAAATTCTGCCCTTTTGGTCTCAAATGGTTGATTGTTCTCTAGCATACATACTTTCCCCTGTGTTGTTTTTCCCCGTGCAGACCTGTGTATTCTTTGGCTGAAAACGGAGCCAAGGGGTGAGTTCAAGTCAGACCTGAAAGTTGACTAAAGGATTCCACCAGTCTCTACTTAATGATTCAGGCTTGTACTTTTTAAGATTTGAAGTTTTATTCTATAGTTTTTCCCACTCTATCCAGGACTTTTTAATGTGATTCTTTTGAGAGCAGTCAGTATTGGTATCCAGATCATCTAGTTCTTCTGGTCTCAGGGTCACGGAGACAGATGTTTGCATGGCCTACTGGTCCATTGGGCTTAACAACTTTTCTGTATTCATCTTGACTCTACTCTTGTTAGGATTCGCTTCTTCTCCCTCTGCTAAACTGGGGCCACACACTCTTACCAAAATCTCTCACCTCCTTCAGAGGCTTCTGCTCATCTGGGGTCTGCCATCATCTTTCAACCAAGACTCTCACCTTTTTGAGACTCCTTAAAAGAGTCAGCCTTACAATTCTGCCTTAGATCTCCTAAGTCTGAAGAGAGATGAGGGATCTGTGTCACCCCATTGTTCTGATGTCAGGGGTCACCTCAGTTTTCACACAGTGCACTGTCCTGAAAAGGCCTGGGGCTTCGTTCCCTATTGACCGGGTTATCACAGCCTCACTATGACCCTCACAAGCCCAGAGCTCAAGAGGTGTGTGAGGGAGGGGAATTTGGGGCAGCTACACCTGACAGCCCTTATATAAGGCTTCCTTCAGTACTGGTGTGGAGAGTGGCCCAGGTTTTATTCAAGGGTCTTTCTTCAACATCTGGCACCCTCTGAGATTCCTGTTTTCTGATCAGAGGTTGACCCACCTAGATCAAGACTTCTGAATGGTGACTTCTCCTAATACCTTGCCTGGGCCTTTCTAGGTCTGAGAGCAGACAGGGCAGGCATCTGTGTGACCCCTTATAATTGTGTCTGGTTTGTTACTCATTTCTTATCAAGCAGGCTTCTCATCTTGGCTCCTATCTCTTTAATGAAAGGCTTCCTATGAAATGTCACATCCCTGCAACTCTTGAACAGCTTCCCCACACACCAAACCTTGCAGAGAAGGATCCCTGTCCCAGAGCAAGGTTATGCTACAGCACAGGGCATGACAGGTGGGCTGTCAAAAAAAACACACTCACTAACCTGTTCCTTCTCTTTACCACCCAGACTTACAAGTTTCTCTAATTTCTGTTCTTCAGCATTTCATTTCTACAGGAAAGAAACTGGACAAAGTAATTTTATGAACCTCTGATGTTTAGAGATGAATGGACATTCCCTAGAAGATGATCATATTGGCACTGATTTTATCGCTTGTCTTTATTCATGCATCACACTTATTTTGATGTGTTTGTACTTTGTTTATGTTTATGTATTTATTTTGATGTTTTTGATGGCTATGTACTCTAATTCAGAACTTTGTTAGCAAAGTCCTTCATGTATTGCCAGGGACATATCAGAGTAATGAAAAGAAGAGAAAATTAAGAAATAAGGTCTGCCTCAAACTGGAACAGTGAAACTGTGTGGGCTTTAGAGGAATTCACACCAGAGGCTGAGTTCAGTTCTATTGCTTTCCACCTTGCTAACATTTGAATCCTGCTGTGGCACTGTTGATTAATGGCCTGAATTGTGAAGTCATTTGAACTGCAAGGTCGGTGGTTCAAGCTCACCAGCTTCTCCTCTGAAACACTCTACAAGTTTGCTATGAGTCGGAACCTACTGGACGGCACTGAACAACAGCAACATGAGAATGTTACAGAGTCTTTATCTGTCCAGTGAGTTTCCCAAGTCCTGTCCCCATCCTGTAGGACTGTCACATTATACTCATATGTATAGTATGTAAAGAACTTGACCAGACCACTGGAAAAGGACAGACGTTTAAGGAATGAAATACACTGTTGTGATCATTCACACCTCAAGTCGATGTCACCTTCCTCTCTAGGATACCTCCAAGGAGGCTACAAACAACTCATGGAAAAGTCACATTGTCTTTGTTTTTTTTTAATTATTGTGAATTTGGTGAAGGTTTACAGAGCAGATCTTCATTTTCACATTCAGCAATTCATGCACATATTGTTTCATTCCAAAAATTCCATGATCTTTAAAATTCCATTTTTCACACACTTTTTGAAGCCACTTCATAAATATTTTTAATCCAGTAGGTGTGAGATGATAGGAAATGCTCTTGGACAAAGAACACCATGTTGTTGTTGTTGTTGTTGTTGTAGTTGTTGAGCTCAGAACCAAGAGTACCAATCCAGGTGATATGTGCCATCTCACTTCAGGGGAGGGAGCACCACCCTTATTTCTCAGAAACTCCTTCAAGATACTGTGCATAAAACATCTAGCTTTTGGAAAGCTTTCACATGTCCTGGGACAAGACCAAAGGATGCCTTTCATCCCTGCCACAAATGGAGATTTTATGCTGGTCTATCCAGGATCCCAGAGAAATCATAAAAGCAGCTTTCCATTCTAGGGTTTTGTCTCTCAACTCCAAAACACATATGTTGAGAGTCTGGCTTCTGGTCACTAGTGCCACAGCCTCTTTTAGCCAATCACTCAGTTTACTTTAAAATTCTGTACCACCAAAGAACTTGTATTTTACCAAAGATCCACACAGCTTTGCCTCAGGAATTTTACACTTGCCTACTCTTATCTGGAACAGCTGATTCACACCTATTCTTTTTGCTTTTCCTGTGGGTCAGAGAGGAGAGCTCAACATCTCCCTTACATGAGAGCAGGTCCTAGTCTCTAAAATTCTACAGCCTGGGATGGGGCTTTATCTTAGCATCCCGAGAACTAGTACTCAGCCTTTCAAAATGCAGATCCTCAATTAATGCTTAGGGGAAAAAAAGATTCAGAGAGCAAGTGATCAAAATGTATGAAGATTTCATTTCACCACATTCTACAATAAGATAAGCATATCCAGGTATAAACCATATATCTTGTACTTTTACCTAATGGAAAACTAAAAGCAACCAGGAAAGCCAAGAAGTGATCATGTTTTACTCAATTCCCACTTTTATTTCATTATCTCAGCAATTTAACTTTGGGGTTCTGACATTTCCAAGAAAATCTCTACTGATGTCAGATTATCTAATGTGGAGGAAAAGAAAAGCTCAGATTACTAGGGTGGCTGGAGAAGGTGCTGTACTTGGCCCATAAAAGTCCACTGGCTGTGATGGTAGGGCCAATTCTGACTGTAAGTGTGGTTCAGGCTATTCCTTCTTCATCTCTCACAGCCTCTTCATATAGGGCTTCTAGAGAGCTGGGGAGAATACCGTTGACCTTGGCCAAATACGCAAAGATTTTGACCTTAGAGGTTTCAGCGTGGGCTTTGGGACCCCACAGGAATTCAGAGCATGGAGGATCACTGTTGGGTATCTGCCGATACTCCAAGAAATTCAGCCTCACGAAATCTTTGGTAATGAGCTGCCTGGGCTCACCATAGATGAAATGCTTCCTCCCAGCAAACTTACGCATCTTATTCAGGAATTCCCAGATCTCCTTTTCTGTGGCCCGGTTGCCGTTTAATAAGATGGCACCTAGGAGGGTCATCAGTAGACCGGTCTTGGGCAACCCTATGCCAGCACGTACCCTTCCTTTGTTGGGGAGGTTCAGTTTGCTAACCAGAGCATAGGACTTAGTGGTGGAGTCAATTTCCTTCACATCCACAGCAAACATAGTCTCAATGCATTCAGATACAATCTTGAGGATCTCAGGAAAGTGATCTTTGTATTTCCGGCTGATAACCTTTAGCATGTCTGCCATGTGAATGGGCTGCTTCATTTTATACTTGTATATCAGGAACCGCTCCAACAAATCTGCCTTAATGGTCCGAGGGTCAGGACTGCAGCGCTCAGTTTCAGAGATACCGGAATGGTCTTCATTCTCTCTGTTGACACCTTCATCCAATCTTCTGCAAGAATTGGCTACAGAAGTTGTAGTGGTGGATGGGGGTCTCTTGAGACCTCTTGAATATACTACGCGTGTCCACAGCAGCAGAACCCTGGGTGGTATCACTAGGAAAAGCAGAGGAGTTAGAGAGGGGCTCTTTGTCCACTGCTGCTGTGGCCTGAGCACCTCTGCTATCATGGGTGTCACCTGGGCCCTGAGGGTGTTTCTCATGATTTCGGGACTTATTCTTCTGACGTCGAGGCATGGTGACTCTGCTCAAGGACAGTAGGCAGGATCCTGGACAGAAGAGTAGGTCCTGAGGAGGTGGGAGGATGAGAGGATGTGCCTCCCTTCAGCAGGCAGATGCCTCCTTGGCTTTAATGGAGGTCACTTCCACAGCTCTAGAAACACAGGCTTCTTTACTCCTGATCGTCTCACTTGTAGAATTCTGTGGAGGAAAGTAGAGAGGACCATAGGCTGCAACCTTCCAGCCCTGTCTGGAATTTACTGGGACTGACAGAGGGCTTTATAATGGGGGTCCTGCTATTGTGAAGTGAGGGGTTATCTCAGTACATATTTAGGATAACATGTTAACTGGTTCGTGGGCCCTCTCCTTTGTGCTGCTGAATTTTCTTCTGAAATTGACACCTCAAATCAAGGCACATACTTCCCCAAGTCTACAAAAGCATAAATGAAGGAAGACTTACTTCAGCCCGTCATCCCTGCCCATGAATACCCAGTGCTGACAGCTCAATGAGGGTCCTCTGTCTTGGGAACACTCATAGATTTCTCAGATCTCATTCAAAGTCTCTAATCTGAAGAACAGATTTGATTAATTAAACACTAAAGATCGAAGACCAGAAGAGTTGTGGGATGACATCAAGAACATCATACATGAAGAGAGCAAAACATCTTTAAGAAGACAAGAAAGGAGGAAAAGGTCAAGATGGATGTCAGAAGAGATTCTGAAACTTGCTCTCCAATGTAGAGAGGCCAAAGCAAATGGAAAAATTGAAGAGGTGCAAGAGCTAAACAGAAAATTTCAAAGATCAGCTCGAGAAGATAAAGCCAAATACTATAATAAAATATGCAAAGATTTAGAGTTAGAAAACCAAAAGGGAAGAAC